GACGAAGGTTGAAACCTTAACCCGGAGGAAAGTTCGCCAAATCGAAGATTGGAAGTTCGCACGCCATGGGCGTTCCCCATACGTTCAATGAACTTCCACTAATACTAGAAATTCCAACTCGTTTCACTTTCTAGAAATAGATATTTAACATTCTCCTGTGTAACACTTAATGAGAGACTACCTTGTTCTTTGCTCCTTGATCGAAAGTCGCGTTGATGACATAGTTCAGTGTTGGATATCAGGTATATATTGATCGGTAACGAGATCGACAATTAACGCTGGCGCACGGTCGCACGTAATTATGTCTGCAACAGACGGAAACGTAAGCTTAATCAGATATCCTGTAACCGCAAACGCACTGTCGCCGCAAAGTATCACTGTTTTGTCATGCAATTGTCGGTTACACGTGACAGCCGTGACGGTATGTTAAGCAGCGATGAAAAACACATCGTGTTTCGGACGCGTTTAACGGAACGAATCCCTGGCCTGCCGTCTTTGTACGATTTCGTGTGCAGGAGTCGTTCACGCGCGCGCGTCTCCTGCTGCGGTATTCACTTGTAATGAGCTCTCCGAGCGGAAGTTATATTGTACTACTGTATTCCTTATATCATCGTTATTGTCAAGCACAATGCCGATTGTGATAGAAATAAAAATTGTACAGTATATAATATAAAGGTAAAGGCAGCATACATATAGATACAATCGAAACTTACCGGACCATTACCGGCATGTTTTCGCTGAACTGCGAAAGCGGCAAGACCAGCTGAATAATGCACGGGTTTTTGTAAGAGCGCATTAAGCAATAAGAGACAGTGGCGCGAAAATCCCGTTCTCGATCGCCCTTGTAGACACGAGACAGAAAGTCCCGGTTAAGTTGCGCTCGCGCGTATATCATTTTCCGCGCGCGCGCGCGTATATACGCGTATTCTAAAGAGAAAGAGAGAAAGACTTGGCAGATTTATGCGAACTCAGCCGAAACGCTCCAATGCAATTCGTATTTATAACGGACGTGTGTGCGTGACCATTAACCACCTTAGGAAGGCCTTGAAGCAATTCAACGTAACATACTCTCCCTTAATTTATCGAGTTTTGTAAAACGGAGTTGCAATTTAGGCGCCTTTTTGTACAACATTCGTAACGACTTTACGTTCACTCGACTTTACGCTATTAAATATCATGATTCGTATCTCGTTCGATAACGCCGTCGTGATACCGGCTCTCACTCGCCCCGAAAGACGATCGAACTTGATACAACGGCGGGAAAGAAATGTACTCTTTCAATGTCAAGTTAATAAAGAAATATTTGCGAGTGTCAACACCCGGTGTCTCCATGCATTTTGAGAAAGCACCGCCTATGTTCTTGGAAGTTTCTTTAGTCATTTATTTACGATGACGGTTACACCTGCGTCATCATATTTACTGTAAGAATCACTTGTCGAAGAAATTTAAGACGTGCTAATGAATTGCGTGAATTCCGTCGCTTCGACGACTTTAAACGAATGTCTTTGTCTCTTTGAAAATTCTTCACATCTTATGTTTACATTCTTGTAGTTAAAATAACCCATAATCGAAAATTAAAAGCACCTATAAAAAAAGAAGAAATCATTTAATTCAATTTTTTGTACTGAGAAAAAAAACGAATTTAATATTGATTGAAGAATCTGTAGTGTAGAGAAAGTGTGCGAAATTAAGTCATCAAGTTGTCGATATTTTAAAGCTAATGACGTTTTGTGCCCTCAAGGAATATATCTTCATTTCATAATATGATTACGTCTGCGATTTTTTCTACATTCTAATGTACAAGGTCGATAAAAAAGAAGTTAATTTTAATTTTACTTCAAATTTAGAATACCGAAATTATAAAATAAATTAATTGGAAAGTAATTTGTTTATATTTCGCCCAATAGATATTTTAATCTTTTGTAAAATTATAATTATCCCTTCAATATAAAGAGAATGAGAAGGCGATGAAGCAGGAAATTTTCAGATATTATTCTAGCTTTCTCTTTCAAAATAGTCGTTTTACTAGTTTATATCTTTTGCTTGAGAAAAATATGACAAATATATGAACGATGACACTGTGATATAAAAAATAGCATTAAAAAATTATGAAACATTACAATCTAAAGATCATATACAATATCATTTTATATGATGTGATATGAAGTATTAATAAGCACCATGATATAAACTTTGTTTCAGTTTCCATTTATTTTTATTAAGAATTTTTATTAAATTTTTTTATTTGCAACATATATTATCAGAAAATAAATTAGTTTTATATTCGATGTTTTTTAGTATCAATTACCTGTTCTTGTCAATTTTTTTCCAAAATTATATAAAATTTAATGCGCGGCGGAATCCATTTTATATTTTTAAATGTTTTTGCTTTATTAACAATTTGCCTATTCAATTTATCATTAAAAATTAGTGATTTTATATCATTTAATTTGTAAAATGATGTTTTTATTAATGCCGTGCAATAAATTTAGTTCTGACGAAATATTAGACAGATCTTTGGAACAATTAATAATTTAACGATTCGAATAATATATATATATATATATATATATATATTACAATATGTTAAGAAAAATGTTAAGAAATATTAGACAGATTTTTGGAATAATTAATAATTTAACGACTTCAATCTTTTTTAAGTTAAGTTATTAAATTATATATATATATATATATATATATAATTATATATATATATATTAAATTATATATATATATATATATATAATTTAATAACTTAACTTAAAAAGATTCGAATCGTTAAATTATTAATTGCTCCAAAGGTCTGTCTAATATTTTTTAACATTTTTCTTAACATATTGTAATATATACATATATATATATATAATACAATATGTTAAGAGCACAGTGATAAAAAGAAGGTATTTTATATAAAGTATATAGATAATTTTTTCTCGATATTATGTTTACAAAAGAATGTGTACCTAAGTATTACGATAAAACTTGTTTGTTGCACAATTTTTTTGCACAATTGACGTAGTTCTCTTTATCTTTTCTTTTTTATCTTTACTATGATTACAACAGTCGGTCAATTATGAGTATGTCGTCTAAAACGACCCTAATGAATAAAAAACGATAATATTTACGACAATTGCGTGCGTCAGCAATATAATTGCTTACCTATTTTAACTAAAACAATAACTGCAACTTGTTTGCTTATCAAAAACTTTAATCAATAGAATTCGAATTAATATGATCCGGCAAATGGATATATTGCGATACAACAATCGTATATACTGATGTTTTATATTTATGCTTTTGTATTATATCTCCAATTAAGTATAATATTCACAGTCATATCGTCATATCGTGTTGGATTATTATATTATTGATATTAGCTTAAAGGGGAAAGGATAATTTTTAGCTAACGTAATCAAGTATCTATTAAACTGATTAAACAGTCATGCTCGGACTGATTGTATATTAAACAAAATATTTGCATTTAAGTGTATATTAGATATACGTTTTGCAAATTGTCATGGCTAAAGTAATTAACCTGCTGCATTTTTCTATATAATTCCACTTATTTGCGCGTATTCCTGCAGGATTTCTTTCTTTCTACAAACTTTGTTATTATCTTTTTGTGTTGATTTTGTTGCAACATATGAATTTGTAACTAGCAGAATGAGAGAACTTCTGTTTCTTGTCATTTTTCTTGTCAATTAATATTCATTTGAATATTTATTTCCTATTGATACGTATATTGCATCTCATTGTTATATAAGTGTTTGAAGTTACAACTTGCATCTTTTTTTTTGACGTTTACATATAAAGTCAAGAGAAATATATGTTGAAAAATGATATTCATAAAATATAAACGTGAAATATAAAATAAAAAATACTAAATAGTATCGTTACAGTAATAAAGTAGAATGCACAATTTAGACCCAGGGAGAAATGATCGGTTTATCTCGACGTCTACAGACATTATTTTTCCCTGGGGAACAAAATTTAAATCATAAATGATGCTTTGCATGCAGTTTAAAGCAGGATTTGCCCAAAATTTTGTGAATTGCGATCCACTTTTTAGAAGAGAAAACATCTACGATCTTCCTAACTTTTGTGGATATGGAAAAGCGGAGATGGGCGGAGGAATTAACTATACATTATACTTTATTTTACTGATTTTTTTAAAATTTTTTATTAAATATATTCTTTAGCTATTAATCCGAGCATTTCGAGCTCGTTTTAATACGCATGCATCTAAGTTTTAAAATTAATTACATAAAAGTAACGAAATGTAATTTAATTAACATTCTAAAATTTTTCACCACACATCAAATATCGGCTTGCGACCCACTAGTGGATCGTGATTCACACTTAGAGAGAACTCCCTGACTAAAAGAGATTATTATAATTTTGTTACATATAATAATAAGATACTAATTTTTATATCACTGTTCATAAAAAAAGTTATAATGGAATTCCGTTTTTTTTTATCATATCGGAAAAACGAGTTTCGATATTTTCGATAATTAACCAAATTGTTCGGATAACAAAGGCTAACCGGTTCTTCCCTCTATCAGTATTTATGTTAGCTTCGATAAGGAGTTGACATTAAAAAAATTTGAAGTCGAGCATGTTGAGTAGTTCGGATAATGAAGTTCACCTATGAGTTTCATATATACCTATGAAATTGACTGTGAAACTTGCTCATGCGAATAAAATGCGGATAAATGGAGTTCTACTGTAATGTATGTATTGCGCAAAAATACAAATTCGGTAATTTTCCAGCACCTTTAACCGAGCAACTTTAATGTTGGCACATGCGCCGTGCCGAAAATAATTTTTGTATAAATGCATACTGCACATTTACGTAATGCGTGTCCGATGACAAAAGTCAGCAAGACACAACGTGCCGCTGACTTGCTCGTCGTCGTATTTTTTCTTCGCGATCAGTCCAGACCAGTTTCACCTTCTCCTTTCCCTCCTTTTAATTTCGATTTGGTTTTGCATTTCAGGCAAAAGCCAAGAATGAAGGACCAACGGCGAGACGGCGACGAGTGAAAGTGAAGCTGGGGGAACGTGCGTCTTACCTGGACCCAGGTGTGAAAGTGCAGTGCGTAATACGAGCGCAGGGAACACGTGGCGCAGCGGGTACCTGTCGAAATCGCGCTATCGACACGACGACAGCCGGGGACACGAGGACAAGATAGTGGTGATGATAACGGCGACGATAACAATGCTGCAGACACGTGCTCACCGCGAGAACAATGCCCAGTGCAGTGACGGTAGATGATGCTAATAATGATGACGATGATGAAGATGATGATGATGATGATGATGATGATGATAACGATGTTGATGATGACCTCCTGTATACGCAACACTCATTTTGGGTCAACGTGTTTACCGTTAATTAGAGCATATAGTAATTAGTTAGCCATTTGTAGTGGATTACTCGTCTTTTATTCCACTTTTATTCGGCTGAACAATCGACGGTTTCGTTCATTCGTCGGAAATTGAATCGTTCGAAGACTATCGGCGACCCAAGTCCGAACAAAAGTGCGATTGAAACAAAACATTATTTGCAAGAAATGGCTGAAGCAGTGTGATTGATTCGGATCAATAGGTGTCTTATTAGCGTTACATCTCGAGTGAAATTGTTTTATCGATTGTAACGGTTTCAAAAAGTAGATTGTTTTCTTTGTAACGTGAATAAAAACGAAGAACGAAGATGAAGTTTATCGCGTCCTTGTTCGGGACGAGGTCCCCGAAGGCGATGGGCAGACAATACATGAAGGTTGGCAGAAACGCCCTTTTTGGTGTGCAAAATGATACAAATGACAATATTTGTACCGAGAAGGTGCCAAGGCCGCTATCCTTGCTAATCTCCAGGAAGGGAAAGTTGAGGCATGGTGAGTAACTAACTTTATTTTAACGTTTTTTTTACTATTTAATAATAAATTTCTTTAATATATAAGTTTTACATTTAAAGCAGAAACTTACTGCGCTCGCACGAAATTTCGCAATTCTCTTATCTCTGTTCTAATTCACGGACGTATTTTTTTCTCTTTATTATATTACTCATTTAAAACGTTTGGAGCATTAATTATTTGAACTTAATCTTGAAACGTAAATGTTAAGCAACGACAAGGTTTACTCTTGCGTAATCCGATTAATCCGTTCTAAACCGCGATTCTTAACTGCAATTTTCTGCCGCGACTAATGATAATATGTTGTTAGATGCTTGCGAACTCGTGCTGGCAACCAGACCGGAACAATATTACAGCATGAGTAATAAATTGCCATTGTGCATTCGACACTTTCCTTAATTAGTCATTATCTGAAAAGGTAGCCGGTTTAGCATTTAGCGTTAATTGATCTCCACGAGATATTCTGCTAATAATGTATCGCTTGAATACATGCAAGTCACGTTAATCGTCAAAAGAATACGATGTAGGCATGTATATGACAAACAGTTTCTTCACAGTTGTGAGAATCATTGAAGTACATATCGGGTGTTCCGAAAATATTTCTGAATTTATTTAAATTTATTTATAATTTTTCATGATAATTCATAAAATTTTCAAAAATATACTAAAATTATATGTTAATTTTGTTATAACAACAGACAATTTATCACAAATTTTTTTTTATATCCCAATTCTCTTTCTCACTTCTTTACTTCCTCTTTTTCCTTTTACTCTCTTTTCCTGTTTCTCTCTTTTTTTCTTTCTCTTTGTCTTTCTAAAAAGAGTATTATTTTTTGTTAGTGAAATTAATTATACAACTATTTTCCTGTTTACTGGCGCTTAGATAAAAATTAAATTTCACTTTACATATACGTTACATATACATATATAAAATGGCAATACAAAAATACTATATACTTGTTATAAAAATATAATACTATTTTTACATTTAGCTTAACTTTCCGATGACAAAATTTTTAGTAAAAATTAAAAGAGGATATTAATTTATATAATTATTTTTTGATATATTAAATATTTTAGTAATATTAACATTAAGACACACATAAAAAAAGTGTAATTTGTTCAGAGTTTAGGTAAAATTTATTGAAATATTATACATATATATAATGTTGTTATCTATTTACTTTATTAAATATTACTTATTGTTAGATAAAAAATTTTAATTCTCAATTTAAAAATGCTTAATTTTGCTAAACGTTAATGTTAATTCATCAACTTGCGCGTCTCAGTGTCGAAAGAATATGCATTTCCCCTCATTGTACTATTCCTAAAAGAGCAATGCGGCCACCTTATATCAACGATTATCGTTCACGAATAACGGGTATTAAAGTGAGAGCCGCCATATCAAACCGCAACTCTCACCACATTTAAAAGAGCGTGCATAATTAGAGTTGCGCACAAGGTCGACCAGCCAATTCTCGTTACATAGCAGTCGAAATATTCTTGTTATCTTGACAAACTAAACCAAAGAGAGAGAGTTAGTTACTGATCGTTAGATTCGCGATAATTCGTGCCGTAGCGCACAGTCGATTAGGGTCGCGATAGCTCTTACCGTGTTTCACGTTTAATCTTAGCAAGCCGCATCACTAAAAAAAAAGTGTCTGGTAAACTTGATCATTTTGTGTGTAATCTCATTAATTTTTTTTACGATTTATTGCCTTATCTTCCAGACATTAATTAATCTATCTCTAACGCTCAATATTTTCATTGTACGACGAGTCTCGTAACAAGTGTTTATTTCAGATTGCAAGTTTTTTCAGTTCGATAAAACAATATGCTAATATGTTCGCTTCTAACTGACGTTAAAAGATATAATCTATTTAATTACAAAGTGAATAATAAATGAATATGAAACACTTTGAAAGTGCATTGGGCTATTTTCTTTTTAAGCAAATCCGTCGTAAATTTTCTAAAAAAAGTTGGTAGTTAGCAAAAAGTCTGAATCATCCCATTATCGTATAAATCTTGTTCTAACTTTACGATTGCTACTTACGATAAGTTACACGCGATCATTGGAAATTTCAAAACGGTGCTGAAATGGAACGCAATATTTTTAAATTATTATCGCTTTAACGAAAACTTTTAGATTTTTTAATTGTATTTACATTTACTTTTTTCATTTAATTAGACATCTTCGCATCTTGTAGTCTTTTGATAAAAAGAGATGCATAGATAATACGTGTTTGGCAACGCTTTCTGGATGTTTTGAATATTACATTTTAATTTTATTATAATATTACTTTTACTTTTGCAAAATATAAAAAAAGGTAGATAATCCCTATTCTCGAATACTTCTCATTTTTCAGATATCTTAAAAAGAGTATTAAATAACAGCAGATGGAAAGCTTAAATTGTAACTATTAGAAGCATGATTCTAGTAATTTGCTGGTTTAACCTTATTTAATTTGCGATTGAAATGCATCGATAATGTTGCTAATTAAATTTCAGTATTCTAAGAGTAGCAATTATATGGTAGTTCTAAATTAATGAAACATTGTTATTAGATCAGTTAAATGTTGGGTATATTAGAACGCGTAATGTTTCTTATTCCGCATAGGTTTCGCTTATGTTTTATAAACAAAAAAAATGTTTAATCTTCAAAAATTGCTTTGAAAATTTTAACACTTGAAACAAAACAGATAATGTTAACACGGATATTCTTGTGCGAGCCAAAAGTTTAATAATATAACATAATTAAACAAAAGATTAAAGTTGATTAAAAATTTACTTTAACTGATTATAAAAGTTGTAATGACCAAGAAATTAATGAGATTGAGTATCTCAGTGTTGAAAATGCAGATTAAGTTCTGTTATCTTTTATCAGATTAAATCTCAGATAAAATTTCTGTTACAGTTCTTTTTTATACAAAAAGAAAATCAGCACGAATTATCGTTAAAAAATTTATTAGAAATCTTGATAGCAATGAAATATCTTGTATATATACACCCGTGCACTATGTTAAATACCATGTGCAACATAGCGGAGGCCGAAGTGCAGTGGGTCAGTGGAACACGAGTGATAGAGGACAGGTTGCACAGCACAGTTATGTACGCATCACTTCGATTAGCTTCACTATCGCCCATTACTTTATCCTAACATGTCTTTGTAAAAGCTTCGTATTTTAAGAAACCATATAGAAACTGAAATTCGTAGATGAGTTGTGATCCTATAGGAAATGTTTTAAAAGAATATAAATATAATCGTATACAATAATATAATTATTAAAATATCACATACACGTGTATACAAAATAATATACACACATCACGTGTATACAATACATCACATCGTTAATGCAAAACACATGCAGAAATGCCAGAAAAAGTCTTCGGTTCAGTTTCATTTGAAATATAAAGGCGGAAAATAAAGCATATAAAATGGCAGCGTCAATCCAGCGTTAAACTCTCCGGCAATATTCTAGCCGGCGTTGAAATTTCTAAAGTTGACAAGCAGAGAGAAGGCTCTCCTACAATCAGGATTTGTGTACATTTTTGTGTGCAAATTTAATTTTTCATTTTTTGATGTATAACGAATCAATTATGAATATATTTAGAATTTTATAAATATAATTTTAAAATTGTTAAAACATCTTTTAAAAAACTCGAAGTGAAAAGAAGAAAATTACTTCTATGCCTTTTTCTGTGCTGTTCCTTCCCTAACGCCTTTTCCGAGCGTCCTCATCCTGTGCCTGGTGTATCCTTCATTCCACGATACCGTTAGGTTCCGCAAGAGAATACGGGTTTCTACTCGTCTTATTTTCGCCGTGCGTGGCATGAACGGCAGGCGCAGCATGATTTTCACTCATGCTTTACATCACACGAGATATGCCTGCTCTCTTACGTAATTTGAAATTTATTACTATTTCCAAAATATTCTTTTAATGTTTTTACACAGGTGATTTTTATTCTCGCTACAAAATATTACTCTTGTTTAAAATCATAATGGATCGAATTTAATAATGAAATTATGTGCCATATTTACTAAACTTGAATTTAGCGGGAATTAATTTTCGAATTAAATTATATAGATCTCTATTCGGATATTATAAATCACTTTTGCTCAAGCAACAGTCAGATCAATCATAGGAAAAAGAAACCAGGTAAAAAAAAAAAGAAATAGAAAGAGGAGAATAAAACCGGTTGCGCGCCATTAATGGTTTTTTAATAGGTTAAATCGGCAGTATCGTCTGCGATCTTTTCACACAGCTAACTATTCACTCGCTCATTATACCGAGTGATCAAAGAGGCATAACATTCACCGCCGAAACGCCGCGGCAAAGTGCCGCGGTATTGCACGACTTTTCGAACGTACTGTACCGGCTCGAAGACGCGAAAGGTGAATAAGTCCCTGATTGAAGAACCATGATAAATCGTTCAATGCACCGTCGTGAGCACCTCGCAAATCATTTATCTATTATCGTCATGCACCGTAACGGGGCGCATTGACATTACTATGCCACATTCATAGATCCGCGCGCGCGCGGCCGCCGCCGCGGCCGTTGCGGCTATCAACTTTCTAATACTCTCGTCCTGCAATGCGCGCCGGGGCCATGTCATTAAATAGAGCTATGATACGCTGATTGGCGATTGCAGTCAGGCAGTGCATATTATCGCATCGCGTGCTTGTCCGCGTTTGAGTCGCGTGAAGAAACGCGCGTGGTGTCGTCCTTCTCCATTTCTTTTTATGGGTCACACGCATATATGAAGCACTTGACATCATATTCCGTCCAATTCATTTTATCCGCTTCCGCTTTGATACGTCGGAATAACTCCAGTGCCGTTCCGCGTAATAAAAAAAGCATTTTGCATACAAGATACATCTCTGAGGTGCCTCTTTTTTTTTAGTCACTGCTGAAATCACCGATTTAAAAAGGAATACATTATGAGCGAGTGAAAACCGAAAGTTCCGCGAAATTAATTTC